GGGGGGCTGTGAAACACCTGTCAAGGGAGGTGGGGGGGCTGTGACACAGCTGTCAGGGGAGGTGGGGGGGGTCTGTGACACACCTGTCAGGGGAGGTGGGGGGGGTCTGTGACACACCTGTCAGGGGAGGTGGGGGGGGTCTGTGACACACCTGTCAGGGGAGGTGGGAGGGGTCTGTGACACACCTGTCAGGGGAGGTGGGAGGGGTCTGTGACATACCTGTCAGGGGAGGTGGGGGTGCTGTGACACACCTGTCAGGGGAGGTGGGGGGTGTCTGTGACACACCTGTCAGGGGAGGTGGGGGGCTCTGACACCTGTCAGGGGAGGTGGGGGTGCTGTGACACACCTGTCAGGGGAGGTGGGGGGCTGTCACACACCTGTCGGGGAGGTAGGGAGGCTATCACACACCTGTCAGAGGAGATGGGCTGGCCATCTTTCTGCCAGGCAGCCTGGAATTCTGGGGCAGTGTCATCTGGGCAGGAGAGCCGCACCAACTGTCCCAGAGCCGCCTGCACCAAGGAGGGCTCTGTACCTGCCAAGCTAATCCTGGAGAGATGGGAAGTAAGAGCTGCTGACTGGCTTAGCGTCAGGCCCATAACCACCCTAAGCGGTGTGTTCCAGGACAGACAGGGTGGGTCACAGGCACTTTCAGGGGCTAGAGGGTCCCTGTGGGAGGCAGAACCCTAGAAGCCCATGAATTCAGGATCCACCCTCCCCAACCTACCTCTGACTCCCCCGCATCACTGCCTCAGCCTGTTCTATGGTGGCAACAAGGCAGGTACAAAGCCCAGGGGATGGGGAGAGGCCGGGAGGGATGGCACACACCAGGTTCCCATGGGGGCTAAACTACACACTCGGCCCATGTGGAACATAATGTTTTAAATCTTCCCAAATCCCTCATTACTATGACCCAGTCCCAAGAGTAATCTTGAACAGAACCCACACCTGTGAAATATACGGGGCAGGAGATAATGTTGCCATTTTACAGATCAAGAAACTGAGGCTTAGAGAAGTTGGGTGATTTGCCAATGGCCATGAAGCCAGTAATCTTTTCCAGCCAGACAGACCACATAGTGGTGCTATCTGGTGGAGAATCCCGAGCCACCATCTATTAGACATCAGAGGAGACTCAAGTCTCTGAAGCCTCAGCTACTCCATCTGTAGAATGACGGCAATAAGGCCCACCAAGAAGGGATCTTGGGAGACACAAGTTATGGATGGGGAGGGAGGGACAGCTGGCTTCAGGGCGTTAGCTCCAACTGGCTGGCTCCTGGCCTCGGTGTCCTGACCCCCCCTACCTGGGGAAGGCGGGGCTCACCTGTAGGAGGAGCTATGGAAGGGTGGCACTGGCCATCCAGCATCTCCGCCCAGTCCAGGGACCCTGGCCTCAAGCTCCTGCTCCCGAGGCCATTCTCCAAAGGCCTGCCTGTGGGGGACCTCCCCTGGCCCAGGATTTTGGTCTTGCCGCCAGAGACCACCAGAAGGCCAGGGCTTTCTCTGCACCACAGCCCCTGTCCTGTGCTGGCTGGGTTCCTGCTGGCCTGCAGGACTGCTGCCACCACCATCTGTGTGGGTGCTCTGGCCAGAGGCCCCAGGCTGGGGATGGCGGGGCCCGTGGAGAGGCTGGCAGCTGTTCATGCAGTCTTGCTCCGAAGCAAAGTTATTGGCATTGCCATGACACCCACCATACCAGAAGCGGTTACATCGGCCCACAGAGGCGACGAAGTACCAGCGGGCAGCCCAGTCTGCACAAGAGCCATGGGCGCTGGGCAGCAGGCACCGCACGGGATAGGCTGTGGGACACAGGTGGGTATATGTCACTGAGGTGTCCAGTACTCAGGCTGCACCTCCATCCCCTCAGCCTCCTACGAAGGAAGCAGGCCCTTCCCCATTTATAAAGCACATCTACACCCCTGCCTGGGGGCCTGACTTTGTCCTGGGATGCAGGCCAATTCCTCCAGAGCCTGTCCACTGTGCAGACCTGGCCCAGGCTGGTGCCACAGCAACCTTCGCCCGCACAGCCAGAGCCACCAGGAGGTCAGGGCCAGGGCTCTCTGGGCTGGCTCCCTTGGACACTTGGCCTTCCCTGACACCAGACCGCAAGCAAAGTGAGACCAGAGGTGGCCCTGCCTGCTTAGCTTGTGAGAGGGACACAGGCCTGAGCCACCCAGGGGCTGTCAAGATGCCCAGCAAGGGCCTGCCCTTGTCCCCAGGACCCTGCACTGACTGGCCTCTGAGCCCACCTCCAGCACCCAGCCTGCCATTCCAACAGCCCTCGCCAACATGGCCTGACACATCTCTCCACGTTTAGACATGACCATGGGTGCCCAGCCTCCTGCCAGCCCTGGCCACAGCCCTGGTCTGGCTTTTGAGGACCTCAGGATGGTTCCCAGCAGCTCTGCTCATTCATCCTGGGCTGCAGCCTCAAAGTCCTCCCTGCCTTCACCCTCCCTCCAGCACTCAACTCCTGCTACACCCACATCCCAGGCAGGGGCAGGGCGCCCCTGCCCATCCCAGCACTAACTGCCCTGCACCGGCTCTGCCTCAGAAGGGGCTGACTCCCAAGCACGAGACTGGCCTCCCAGCCCCTTGGGATCCCCACCACCCACCTTCCCCAGTTCCCAGAAGCAGCCAGAAGCCCACAGGTTCAAACTGCTGGATGCAAGAACACTTTGGCACTGCCCTCTGGCCTGGCACCTAGCAGGCGCTCAATAAATGTTTGTGGAAGAAATGAATGACTGACTGAGCCCGTAGGAAGGTCTTCGGCTCTGGGTGGGTGCTGGGGGAATGGTGGGAGCAGAGTCTACCATTGGGAAGGAGAAGGGGCGTCCACTCACCATGACTAGGCTGGCCCACACAGCCTTCCCCAAGGGGACCAGCTGCAGAGGCCACGTTGTCATAGCAACAGCCAAACTGGGAGCCCCGGCACTCAGTGGGCTCATTCTGCTGGGCCTGGGGCCGGTGGGTATGGTGGACCTGGGGAGGAAGCCCATGATTTGGAAGTTGGAACTGGGTCTGGCCATTGTTAGGGACTCTGGGCTGTCACGGGGAGGATGGCAGGAAGGAAGAGGGACCAGAACCCCAGCCCAGGGGAGACCAGACGCCAGGAGAATGTGGGATGAACCCCCTGCTCCAGCCCAGGCCCGTCTTTGGAACCCAGTGCCCCTCAGAGGATGCCCCAGGCCAGCAGGTTTGCAGGGATCTCCTTTCTCCAAGGCCAAAGTGGCAAAGATCCTGGGTCACACTGACACTGAGCAGCCTCCTGCTCCCCTCACACAGGCCAGACACTTACTGTAGAAGCCACTGCCCTTGACCTGGGCCTGCTCCCAGCGCTGTCTCCACTGTATGACCTCGTGCAACCAGCGTGATGGGGCCCCTCAGCAACAGATACGCCATCAGGGCAGCACCCGTACCTAGGCAGACATCGCACAGCCCCTCACTGCCCCGCGTGTCCCCATGCTCCCTGCATCCCAGGACCCAGGATCTGAGGCTCCCCATGGTGGGGTCTGACTGGGAGGAACTGAGGGGGGAGAGGACGTGTCCCAGCAGGCAGGGCGGGCCATTTTGTGTGCCGCAATCTCTGCCTACATCCACCAACTCTTAGCGGCTACCAGGGAGGGCAACCGTAACACAAGCAGTGGCTGCGCTCCTCATACCTGGCAGAGCCTCAACTGCACAGCCCACAAAACCAAGAAGGGGGACGTTCATCCAAGCCTGAACAAATGTCAGTTCATAGCGGGGGTTACAAAACAGAAGCAGACGGGAGACGGGGCGCAAGAGGGGGTTCAAAGGAACCCACCATTTACTTCACACTCACCCACCAGGTGCCAGGAGGCAAAGTGAAAGGAGGGAGGGTGCCCGGCACCCTCTCTGTGCCAGGCACGCTGTGATGCACTTCACCCTCACAGGAACCCCATCATCATCATCATTATTCCCAGTTCTCAGAGGAGGAAGCCAAGATGAGAGGCTAAGTCACGTGGCCCAAGTCACCAGCACACGGCCAGTGAGAGGCTGAGCTGGGAACTGCCCCCAGGCTACTGGCCATAAAGTCTGGGCACATAAGCACCCAGTCTCTGAGAGAGAGAGTACACTGGGGATTCATCCAGGGCAGGCCACAGAAGAAGGAGGGGCAGAGTGAGGGCACCTGGCGGGAGCAGAATGACTTGGACCCAATCCACGGCGGGAGTGGCCAGGGCTATTAGGAAGATTGTGGGGAGCTGGTTGGCCTGGCCAGCCTTTACTGTGGGTTCCCCGAGCCTGGTTAGATTTGAGAGCTAGAATCACACCCAGCGCCTTCCCCACGTCTCAGGCTGTGTATCCACAGGCTGACACTCTGTGGCAAGGTAGGCATTTGTGTCCCCACTCAGCACATCAGGAAGCTCAGCCACAGAAAGCCAAGTCCCCAAGATCTCACGCTCCGGGCAGCCCGGGGAGGAAAGCGTGGGCGTGTATTCCTGAGCTCTGTGCACCCACCCCAGCCCCACCCCACTTCTGAGCAGAGATGTTGGCCCACCCATGGGGCCCCCGCTTTCCTCTTTGACAGGGGAGGAGGAAGAACTATCTCCAGCACCTACCTGCTCTGCTGACAGGGGGCTGTGGGGCAGCCTTGCCACTGTGGCCCGAGAGACACTGTGTGGCCATCGGGGCAGCAGCCATGAGGACTGTGTCTGCAGTCATGGGGCCCTGAGCCAGACCGCAGGGGTTGCTGGAATGAGGACTGCTGCAGAGAGGGAGCAGGGCCCAGGGCTGACAGGTGGGTGCCCTGGTCACCTCTGGGATCACCTCGTTCTCCCCTGGGGTCACCCCGGGCTGAGGGGTGCTCCTGGGCTGCCCACCACTGGCCTCTGGAGTCTAGAAAGAAGAGGAAGCAAAAGACACACTGCATCCACTGGCTCCTCCCCTACAGCCCTGTCCACCTTGGACCCACCTTCCTCCATCCCCTGGACCCTTCTCCCCTCCCCCATGGCTGCACCCAGCCGTGACCTCCACCCCCATGCACCATCCACTCAGACACAAAGACTACAGGGCTCTGAGTGGGGGCTGAGACCAAGCTCTCACCTGAGGCAGGGGACTCCCGACGGCCCAAAGGCATCTGGGGGCTGTTGGCGGGGTTGTGCACATCCTGCATGCTGGGGTCTTCTGCACGGAGCCGGGAGGTCCACATGAGGTGCAGAGGGAGGAGGAGAGGATGCACCTGAGCTGTGACCAGCCCTGCCCAGCACTGGCTTCTACCCCACCACCCAGGCAGGGCCCAGGAACCCAAGAAAACACAAGGGAGAAAGAGCACCACTCGGGATTTCAAAAAATGCCCTGCCGCTCTTCAGAAGTCTCCAGTTACACAGAAAATGCTCATCCTTTTTGAGATATCTGTCGCCCAGGCTGAAATGCAGTAGTGTGATCACAGCTCACTAAAGCCTCAACCTCTTGGGCTCGAGTGATCCTCCCGCCTCAGCCCCCTGAGTAGCTGGGACAACTCTTTTTTTGTAGAGATAGGGTCTTCCTATATTGCCCAGGCTTGTCTCAACCTCCCAGGCTCAAGTGATCCTCCCACCTCAGCCTACCAAAATCCTGGGATTACAGGTGTGAACCACTGCACCTGGCCCAAAATGCTGATCTTACATGTTCAGCAAAAAGTACCAGATATAAAATGTGCATGTGTTATGATCATAGCCATATAAAACAAAAAACTAAACATACTTTTGAAAAAAACTGGATTGATGAAAGGCAAGCAATCCAATTAAAAAGTCAGCATTTCTCCAAAGAAGATATACAAATGGTCAACAAACACGTGAAATGAGGCTCAACATCATTAGTCAGCAGGGAAATGCAAATCAAAACCGCACCGAGGTACTGCTTCCCACCCACTAGGATGTATATGATCAAAGAGATTGAAATAGTACACTAAATACCACCAGCCTGTACACTTTAGAAGGTTAACTGAATGTTATGAATTTCACCTCCATAAAAAATTCCATATTTTTTAAAAATTGGATTAATAGATGAAGGGGCCAGGCGAGGGGGCTCACACCTGTAATCCCAGCACTTTGGGAGGCCAAGGCGATGGATCCACGAGGTCAGGAGATCAAGACCATCCTGGCCAACATGGTGAAACCTCGTCTTTACTAAAATACAAAAAATTAGCCGGGCATGATGGCGCATGCCTGTAGTCCCAGCTACTTGGGAGGCTGAGGCAGGAGAATCGCTTGAGCCCTGGAGGCGGAGGTTGCAGTGAGCTGAGATCACACCACTGCCCTCCAGCCTTGTGACAGACTGAAACTCTGTCTCAAATTTTTAAAAAAAAAAAAAAAAAAAAGAAGGATTAGAAAGAGATTAGATAATGGGCCAGGCACGGGCTCACACCTGTAATCCCGGCACTTTGGGGAGGCCGAGGTGAGCAGATGACTTGAGGTCACGAGTTCAAGGCCAGCCTGGCCACCATGGTAAAACCCCATCTCTACTAAAAATACAAAAATTAGCCAGGCACAGTAGCATACGCCTGTAATCCTAGCTACTCGGGAGGCTGAGGCAGGAGAATCGCTTGATCCTGGAAGGCAGAGGTTGCAGTGAACCAAGGTGGCACAACTGCACTCCAGCCTGGGTGACAGAGTGAGACTAGGTCTTGAAGAAGAAAAAAGAAGAAAGAAGAAAAAGGAAGGAAGGAGAAGAAGAAAGAGAAGGAGGAGGAAAAGGAGAAGGAGAAGAAGAAGAAAGAGACTAGATAATAAAAACACAAATTTAACAAAATATTAGTTGTGTAATTGAGATGGTGGGTACGTGGCTGTTCACTATGCATTTCTTTCAACTTTTTGGCATGTTTAAAGTTTTTATCATATCGTCCAACTTGTACATTTACAAAAAATCATTGGGCCATTAGAATAGGTGGTTTTTATGGTATATGGATTTAAGCAACCTCCCTAAAATTTTTAAAAAGATTTTTCATCACAAAATATTGTTGGAAAATGCAAATGGATGAGTAGATAAAATAAGGACAATAAGAATTTTTTTGGCCAGGCGTGGTGGCTCCCACCTGTAATCCCAGCACTTTGGGAAGCCGAGGTGAGTGGATGGCTTGAGGTCAGGAGTTCGAGACCAGCCTGGACAATATGGAGAAACCCCATCTCTACCAAAAATACAAATATTAGCTGGGCGTGGTAGCAAGCACCTGTAATCCCAGCTACTCCAGAGACTGAGGCAGGAGAATTGCTCAAACCTGAGAGGCAGAGGTTGTAGTGAGCCGAGATTATGCCACTGCACTCCAGCCTGGGTGACAGAGCAAGACTGTCTCAAAACAAAAAAATAAATAAAAGCTTGTAGGACATACCCCAAAATAATGCTCATAGTGAAAGCTGCTCTGAGAGCTTCGGAGGCAGGGTGCCCTTCCCTTCTATTTGTGTTTTTCAAATTTTCCAAAGTAAGCATATTACTATATAATGGAATAAAATTATAAAGAATAAAATAAGTGGGCCAGGCACAGTGGCTCACACCTGTAATCCCAGCACTTTGAGAGGCTAAGGTGGATCACCTGAGCCCAGGAGATCAAGACCAGCCTGGGCAACATAACAAGAGCCCATCTCAACAAAAAATCAAAAAATTAGCTGGCACGGTAGCCTGTGCCTGTGGTCTCAACTACACAGGAGGCTGGTGTGGGAGGGTCACTTGAGCTCAGAAGGTGGAGGCTGCAGTGAGCTTTAATTGTATCATTGCACTGCAGCCTAGGCAACAGCGTGAGACCCTGTCTTAAATAAATAAATAAAATTAAAATAAATGATTATTCCATTCCCACATGGACTACATCTTGCCAATCCCCAGAAATGTTTATTTATTTACTTTTATCTTTTTATTTAGTTATCTTTTTGAGATAGAATCTTGCTCTGTTGCCCAGGCTGGAGTGCAATGGCGTGATCTCAGCTCACTGTAACCTCCACCTCCTAGGTCCAAGTGATTCTCCTGCCTCAGCCTCCCGAGTAGCTGGGATTACAGGCACCTACCACTACAACTGGCTAATTTTTGTATTTTTAGTGGAGATGGGTTGCACAATGTTGGCCAGGCTGGTCTCGAACTCCTGACCTCAGGTGATCCACCTGCCTCGGCCTCCCAAAGTGCTGTGATTACAGGCGTAAGCCACCACATCCGGCCTTAATTTCATTTATCACAGCCAGGCCAAAACCTGGAACGAGGCTGACTTGAATTCTTCCCCAGATCTGACATCACCTACAGACAAGCCTCACATTTCTCTGGCTCTGCATTCACAGTCCCCAATCTGGGAATTTCTGCCTGTTGTCCCTCTATCACCTCAATTTTTTTTTTTTTAAACTGAGTCTCACTGTCGCCCAGGCTGGAGTGCAATGGCACGATCTTGGCTCACTGCAACCTCCACCTCGCAGGTTCAAGCAGCTCTCCTGCCTCAGCGTCCTGAGTAGCTGGGATTACAGGTGCTCATCACCACATCCAGCTAATTTTTGTATTTTTAGTAGAAATGGGGTTTCACCATGTTAGTCAAGCTGGTCTCAAACCCCTGACCTCATGATCCACCCACCTTGGCCTCCCAAAGTGCTGGGATTACAGGTGTGAGCCACTGTGCCCAGCCTTATCACTTCAATTTTAAGGCATCTCTGCCAAGCCCATCTTCTCTTCCATTTCTTCAGGCTTAATTCTGAGTCCGGGGTCCCTCCTTGCCCACCCCCTGGTTCCCAGGCCCCTTCATTCCCACCACCCCTCTAGCCCTTGGATTCCTGCAGTCTGCTCCCACGGATTCCTGTCTCCACTTCCGTCTGACCCTCAGGCACGGCCAAATTTATCCTCCTAAATACTGTCATGGTGTCACTCTCTAGCTCCATAACTTTTACTGGCTCCCCTGGGCCTGTTAAACACAGTCTAAAGCCTGAGGCCTCAATCCCTCCAGTAGCCACCCTAGCCCTAAGAGTGTCACCCGTGAACAGAACTCCCATCTCCACCCCTACACCCTGGACTAAGGGCTGGTTCTGGGAGCCCCTACTGGTCTCAGAGCTACTGAATGTGGCTATAGCAACTGAAGGGAATAACTGAAGGGAATATGCCGACCTCCTTTTTCAAATGCAAATTTTATGAAATCTGAACACAGGTCAAGTATTCTGGTGAAAATTTAGCCTCTGCAATGAGATGTGCTGCAAGTATAAACTACACATGGGGCATCAAAGATTTAGTTTTAAAAAATCTTATAAGCCAGAGATGATGGCTCACACCTGTAATCCCAGCCCTTTGGGAGCTAAGGCAGCAAACCTGAGGTCGGGAGTTCGAGACCAACCCGACCAACATGGCGAAGCCCCATCTCTACTAAAAATACAAAATTAGCCGGACATGGTGGTGCATGCCTGCAATTCCAGCTACTCTGGAGGCTAAGGCAGGAGAATCGCTTGAACACAGGAGGCAGAGGTTGCGGTGAGCTGAGATCGTGCCACTGCACTCCAGCCTGGGCAACAAGAATGAAACTCCGTCTCAAAAAAAAATCTTGTAAAAGAGAATGTATAATATCTCACAATTTTATACTGATTACATATTGAAAATATTTATATGGGTTAAATAAAATATATTTTTAAATATAAATTCACCTGTTTCCTTTTATTTTTGTTTTTGAGGTAGTATCTCACTCTGTTGCCCAGGCTGGACTCCAACTCCTGGCCTCCCACCTCAGCCTCCTGAGTAGCTGGGATTACAGGCATAAGCCACTCTGCTCAGCTATCTTTTCACATTTTTAATGTGACTCTAAAAAGATCTGAAATGAAGCCAGGCACACTGGCACACACCTGTAGCCCCAGATATTGTGAGGCTGGGGCAGGAGGATTGCTTGAGCCTAGGAATTCCAGACCAGCCTGGGCAACAGAGTGAGACCCTGTCTCAACAACAACAACAACAAAGCAAAATGAAAAACATTTTGAAACGACATACATGATCTGCATTCTACTTCTACTGGAGAACACTTCTCTTGAATCAAGAAAGAAGAGGAGGCAGAAAATATACTGGGGTGTCCACTTGGAAGCTTACCCTTTAATGGGCCTCCTCATCAAAACTTTACCCCCCCCAACCACTCCCCTTCCTCCCAGGCACATGCCAGTACGTACCATGGCATTAGTTACAGTACCAAAAACACCAACTCACCTAAA